AAAAAAGTTGTAAAATGTTGAGACCGGAAGTTATTAAAAACATGTAAAATGATCACAAAAAGAAACAAACAGGTGAAAAGAAAACACAAAGGTGCATAAAGGGCCTAAAAAATGATGATTAAAAAACTAACAGACAGAAAGTAAACAGGTTAAAAGTAGAAAAAAGAAAAATATTGTAAAAAGAAGCAAAATGACAAAAAAAGAAAGAAAGAAACAAAAACAGTTTTTTTAAACGACTCTGGAAATAAACAACAAACTATCACAAAGATTCATAAACGAAGCACAAATTCAAAAAAGGTGCTGCTGAGGTCACTGTGACGTCACCGCAGGTGGAGACGGACTCACAAAGCATCGATGCTCTGATCAATAAACACCGAGAACCATACATGATACCAAAGTACGAATATCCTTCATTCTCGGAGAATCGATCATAACCGATGCTTTATCGATCAGTTCGAGCTGAGAAGTTTTTCATCTGCAGGGATAATAATGAATAACTCGTCTCTCTGTGCGTGGTTCACACTTATGAATAATAATGATCCATCATATTGATTAATGAGCCAAACACACAAAGCGATTAAGGACAAACATCCGTCTCCAGTCGGAGCTTCACTGGCTGCGAGGAAACGTCAGCGCGACCGAAGCTTCTCCTGCTTTTCAAAGTACCCGTGAAAAATCCACAGACAGTCACGGAGCTCACTGTGGGGTCATAAATCAACACCTGTGCTGTTTCTCACAACGAAACACTAACACTCAATCTCATTTCAAAATAAAGGCCCAGTCCTTTCATGTCCACGGGACTCAGTAAATTACGTGGGCTCATTTCCACATATCTGAAACACACTCGGCCAATAGGAGCACTCCAACATTTACATTTACCCCATAATTAATACAACTGATGAACAAAGCAAAAGAAAACAAGACTGCATCCCTCACCCATCCACCCCTCACCCATGCATCCCTCACCCATGCATCCCTCACCCATCCACCCCTCACCCATGCATCCCTCACCCATCCACCCCTCACCCATCCATCCTCCGTGAGACTAAAGACATGAAGAGGAGAAGAGGAGAGTGCTTTGACCCTGAGATGCTCAGAGTGCTGGAGTGAATCCAGCTTTAATCACCTCTCTGTCATCATAAAGGTTAAAGAATCAGGCAGGAAGTCAGAGTGGAGACATAAACAATAAAGGAATGATGAGTAAAGGCTGTGAAAGACGAAGCTCTCTGAGTTTTTACCTGCTCAGATGTTCATGAAGAAGAAGAAGAAGAAGAAGCTCCAGAGCGAGAAAAGCATCCAAAGTTTCCGCTCAGCTCAGACGGACTGAACTGAGATCAGCTGCGAGCGTACGGACACACAGCTTCATCTTCATCCTCCTCCTCTTCCACCACCTCCTCCTCCTGTGGCTGCTGGAGAGCCTTTCCAGCTTCCAGTCACCTCGCGCAGCTTTATAGCGGGGAAAGCCTCACACACGCCGGCGGAGAGGGAGCGGAGGACGTGGGAGAGGAGCGCGGGCTGCAGCGACCCCTGCAGGCCGCACACCGGCGGCACAGGCGGGGCAGCAGAGCCGGAGGAGCGCCGCTGACTCATTTGTAATAAAACAGTACGGTTCACATTATGATCAGAGACACGGGCAGTAAAAAAAATACTCATTTATATTTTTATATCTGACTACAGATTTACGAGCTTTTCTTTTCGATTTCTTGCCATATTTTTAAATGATGAATATTTTTGGTTTGTTTATTGATTTATTTTATTTTTGAATTTGCCTTTTCCTTCACAGATTTTTGTTTGTTTGTTTGTTTTTGTTAAATTTGGTTCTTTCTCTTTGTTGTTTTTTGTAAATGAAATTGTTTTTTCTCTACTCCGTTTCTATTTATCTGCAAACTTATGATTTTTCATTTTTTGTTTTTTATGAATTTATTTTTTTTCTCTTCAATTTTCGACTTTCCACTTTTTATTTTTGTTGTTGATGATGTGTTTATCCTAAACGTGTGCTCATGTAGGGTTGTATATTTTTACTCCATTATATTGTGGTTGAAAAAAATCATTTTGTACATTTTTGTATTTGAACCCTTTGGTTGTTTCTTATTCTGCAGCTAAAGTTATAATTCCCACATGTTGCTTTATTTATAGGTAAAGCTGGTTTTGTTCAGTAGCATTAATAGCATAATTAATAACACCATGTACATTGAGAAGCAGAGCAGACCTCCTCCTGCTGTCACTCGGTTTTAGATATTTGTTTAAATTCAATCTTTATTGGCAGACTTCCTGTCCACAAAAACAAGACAGATATAAAACATTTGTAAAAATATAAAACAATAATATACATCAAGCACAATTACTTAAAAGAAATCAATAAATACACAAACACTTCAACCGCTGCTTCCTCAGACTGCATGAGTAACAGGAACCACTCACTGTCGGATCTGTGAGCGCTAAAATGACTCTGTTACTAGAGCCATCCAGTCGTTCTCTAAAAGTGAACATTAACTTTCTTCAGAGTGCTTTAAAAGTCCAAACACCCACAGCTACAAACATCTGGCTGGCACTACCCCCTCTAGGTCTCCTGCAAAGGATTCTCACTGCATCATTATATGCAACATGCAGCTTCTGCATGCTACAGTGTTTGTAGGATGACCACAAGGGGGCAGTATTTACGCTTTAAACAAAGCCACTTTAACTGGAAGTGAGCAAAAGCTGAATTTGCGTGCAATAGCATTTGCCTGCACATAGAGCTTACACCGTCTGTATCTGTCATCATCATCATTCATTTGCTCAGTAATAAAGTGACCGAGGTATTTCACCTTTTTATGAACTTCAAGAGTTTTTTGGGGCAGTTTAAACAAAGGGAAATTTAGCTGTTTATCCTGCTTGGTTCTACATATCAAAACAGCACTTTTAACAGAATCGTACTTTATGTCATATTGCACACCATATTCAGTACAGACATTGAGAAGCTCCTGTAACCCAGCACTGCTTGGACTAAAAACAACCAGGTCATCTGCATACATGAGATGATTTATCAATGTTTTACTGTATGGACAGATCACCAACATATAAATTAAATAAAATTGCAGACAAAATCCCACCCTGTCTGACACCATTGCTGACACCAAAGGGGGCAGAAATTCTGCTTCCCCATTTAACCTGCATGTTCTGATGAGCGTACCAGTAAGAGAGAATCCTCACCATGTATTGAGGAACTCCCCGTCTCTTCAGGTTATCAAAAAGTGTTCTGTGGTTCACTCGATCAGAAGCCTGAGAGGCATCAATGAAACACATGAGGACAGATGAATTTTTAGTCCTGTACAAACTGACTATTTCCTTGAGTCACATGTCAGTGTCGTGCTTTGGTTTGAAGCCAAACTGATTATCCAGAGAAGAGATGAACACACTAACTCTGTCAAACAAGATTCTTTCTAACACCTTAGATAAAATACTGGCTAGTGCAATCGGCCTGTAATTATCCAAACAGCTCACTTTTGCAGCTTTGTCCTTCATAACTGGTACCAGTAAAATACACAGCATTGAGTCTGGTAATATGCCATGAATCATAAACCCAGTGAAGCAGAGCGCTAGAAGAGGAGCTAGCCTTACACTAGCATGTTTTAAATGTTCTGCAGTGATGTGATCCAAACCAGAGGATTTATTATCAGACAACCTATGAATGGCTTCATATACTTCATGTGTCCTTACACTTATTGTGTCATTGCTCATGTCAGAATTGTCCTCATATGGTTCACTTTTTATACAGTTAAACAACGCACTGTAATGCTGTCTCCATAATGCTGCAATGTTATCTGCCCCAGAAACACCTTCAACAGTTGATGGCAGAGATGGTTTACAGTTATTAAAAGCAAGTTTATTGAACCTATTAGTATTATTATTATTATTGTGCTGAATGCTGTTTTGGTCCAGTTGATCTGTTTTTGGTCACTTTGTGTTTTGGTAACATGTTTCTTGTTCGAGTCCATTGTTTTTCTTCCTTGTCGCAGACACTGTCTTAGTGTTTTTTTCTTATTTTTGCCTCTTCATGTCTTAATATTGTCTTGTTATCACCTTATTTATTTATACTTGACATCTTATTGTGTTTCAATTTTTCCTCTTCTTTAACTTTATTTCCTTTTTCTGAATTTTTGTCACTCTCTGGTTTTGATCACTTTGTTTTATTTTGTTACTTTTCTCTGATTTTACTTTATTTCCTTTTATTGTCACCTTTTTTAAAGATTCATTTCATTTTTGTTTCTTTTCACGTATTGTGTCACCTTTTCACGCCTCTCTGTCTTATTTTGGTTGTTTGAAACTCTTTCCTTGTTACTAGCGTTGAGCACCTTTACTTTGGAAATCTTCCCGGTGTGTTAGGCACGGCAGGGCAGAATGCGGAAGTTTGAGTAATATTAGAGAGGAAGACGGCTTCGAGTTGAGTCTGAACTTTACAGCTGGAAACTTTATCTTCGTCCTCAGCGGCAGAAAACTGAACGGTGAGTTTGTTTCTGAACATTCGCGTTTTATCGACTTCAAACTTTATCCTCACTTCCTGTTTTAGTGGTTACGTTACGCAGATTTCAGGCCACCATCAAAAGTCAATACGAAGCCCACTGCGCGTCCGTTTCACGAGGAAGTGCGACGTACGCCAGACTTCTTTCAGAATTAGGTCAATTTTATTTTCCAGGGTCGTTTCTGGAGAAAAGCGCTGAATTAAAATCATCGCAGAATCTTCACATATTTAGTGACCGAGCCGCTCTTCATTTCGGCAGCAGCCTCTTCGTCCTTCTCGTGTATTTGATCGCGGGCCGTGTAGGCTTAAAAGTTGGTTTATCACCGAATAATCTGCAGAGTAGGGGCGTGCCGTGTGTTCCGTTTGTCGGGACACTCTTTGACTGGACCTGTAGCTGTCTGTAATCACAAACTCGCTCATTATCACCATTTCTCATTGCAGTTCAGTGCTGTGGTTCAAACATGGCCGACTAATGGCTTCATAAACTGCTCTTATCACACCTGAGCTGTGCTCACCTGCCCCGATCACTTTCGCTTTCACTCCTGTGAAAATGAGAAATTGATCTGAAATGTCCCCGCAGCTCCACGGAGAAGCTCCACGGAGAAGCTCCACGGAGGCTGAAGTGCAGAAATACATTCAGCGACCTTTCAGCGCTTTTCACTTCATTTGTACTGCGTGACGTCATGTCGACCTTGTTGCTGTTTATGAAGACAAACGAGCCTGACGCCATATTTAGAGCTGAGCTTTTTTCTTTCACTGTTTGTTTTTAAGGTGGACTTTGTGTTCCGGCTGCTCTGAAACAGGGATTTCCCATCGTTGGACATGAATACATCGCATCTGTCCTTAAATCCAAATCACTGCTTTAGTTTTCTGCTCAGCAGCTTTAACTTCACGTTCATTCAGCGTTTTAAAAGCCTGTAACCCCACCTGCTGTGTAGGTGCAGCTGGGTATTATTATCACTATTATTTGTTGTTGGTGGGATTTTAAAGGTGGTCACGTGGTTCCTGTGGAAGTGGGCGAGCATCTGAGATATTCTAAAATGACTTCGTCTCCCGTTGAATGTGACGTAAACCAGGATTGAGTGACGTGAGCTTTGACCCCTGACCCCCTGAATAGGCGGACTGTGTGTTGATGTGGTTTCCGGTTCTCCTCCTTTGTGAACTTTGAGGCTGTTGCTCTGATGGTGGGAGGAGCTTTAATAACGCTGCTGTCCTGAGAGCTGGCAGATCCGAAGCGAGGTTAACGGTTAGCGAGCTTAAAGCCACGGTTTCCAGTCCTCTTTTCACCATCACCATGGTAACTGATGCTGAGCACGCCTGACTTGAAGTGTGTTTGAAAGTGCCACGTCTGGATTCTTTAGCAGTTTTTGTGCTGAAGGAATTTCTATATGAAACCTGCTGAGCTGGAACTTACCGACTCCGCTGAATGAAGCAGGTTGGGGCAGCAGCATATGTTGCCATGGTGATGCATCTTTGCGGTTATCCTTTCAGGTTTACCTGACGGTCCAGGTAAGCCTGAAGTTTCCTCTAAGCCGCAGGTCCCGCCTCGTGCTGCCGGCCTCTGGTGTGAGATTCGAGTGACATTTATGGCTCTGAAATATTAGCACTGCAGCTTTTTGTCCCTTTTAGAGCAGAAACCATGAGTGTGTGGTGTTCGTGATCTGACGCATCTCTGTTCTCTCTCTCAGCTCCATCATGGCTGAATCAGTTTATACTCCCACCACGACCCCAAACCCCGGAAACAGCTTCTGCCTGATCCCTTCGGCCCACCTGGACAGAAACCGCTTTATCCTAAAAGTCGTTGAAGTGGTGAGTTCAAAGATGCTCAGACTCATGTGACTCTTCATCAGCCAATGAGATGCTTTCGTTTAGCATTCACTCACACCTGCAAACACACAAACTGTGTGAAACCTTCAGGGTTTCCTCATCGTCTCAGCTCATTGGCTGAAACTTAAACGTGTGTTTGCAGGTGTGTCGTAAAAGTCTGAGTCTGCTGAAACTAAGCTTCATTTCTTTCACTCCTTGTTTGGATTACACTGAGCTGCTCTGTGAGCTGACACTGCCATCATCAGTGTCCTCTGTGTGCTGCACGTCTGCAGACCTTCAATTAAAACTGTTCAAGTAAAATATTCAGTTAAAAAAAATCACCACCTTCCTCAGATTTAAAGTTAAATAATTAAAAGTTGTTTTTATTTGAAATCAATGATATTTAGTTGGAATAAGAATTATTGAGATTGGGATTATTTAAACATTAATGTTGGTAAATGATTAAATCGTCCTTCAGAGTAAGTTTCCGATATTTGTATCGCTCTCAGGCTCTGGCCCGACCTGCACGCGCTCTTTAAACTTCCTTTAACAGCGAGGATCGCGCCCCTGCAGGAAGACGCCGGGCCCTTCCTGTGCAGAGGTGCTCAGTTTCCTGTCCGGTGTGGCGAACAGTAGCTCAGTCTGAAAGCTGTGACAGAAGAGCAGGTTTCTGATGCTTCTGAGAGGAAAGATTCATTATTTAGGTGCTGAAACTGTGTTTGACATGTTGCTGAAACTTTGCCTCAGATGTCTTAAAAGACTCTTTGTCTCTGCTCCCTCACATCTGACTCTGCTGTGGGTCTGATGTTTCTGTAACCGTCCACTGTGCAGGAAAACAATGCAGCGGCTGCTGCGCTGTGACTTCCATGAATTATGCACATGTGCAGTGATCCTCAGTCAGAGTCAAACACTCAGGTTCTCCTGCAGCTCAGTGTTGGTGAAACAGAGTTCAGCTCTTTACATGTCAGAGCTACAGAAGGAGTAGCAGTGAAGAAACGCACATGCAAACACACGGGGCCCGAGGCGTGCCAGAGGCGTGCCCGCGGGGCCCGAGGCGTGCCTGAGGGGGCCCGAGGCGTGCCCGAGGCGTGCCAGCGGGGCCCGAGGCGTGCCTAGGCGCGCGGGGCCCGAGGCGTGCCGAGGCGTGCCCGAGGCGTGCCAAGGCGTGCCCGCGGGGCCCGAGGCGTGCCTGAGGGGGCGTGCCCGAGGCGTGCCAGAGGCGTGCCCGCGGGGCCCGAGGCGTGCCTGAGGGGGCCCGAGGCGTGCCTGAGGCGTGCCCGCGGGGCCCGAGGCGTGCCCGCGGGGCCTTGGCTCTGCAGATCATAACAGTACAGCCCAGAGAAAAGTGACCACTAAACATCTGCAGGCTGGACCGTATAAAACAACCTGAAGTGACGAGTGATGTCTTGGTGGCCAAGCCCAGCTGTGTAGCTGACAGGATCTGTTCTAGTTTCAGCTCATTTCAGGGTCGTTACTGTGGAAACCCCCCAAAAACCGAAAGCGACCGGCTGCAGAGTCGATCCTCTGCGAGTCTCTGCAGGCTTACGACCATCAGCTGACTGACAGGAAACACTGTGAGTGTGAGAAATGGTGACAGGAATCCAGAACTGGTTCTAAATTACACAGTCTGCACTCATCACCAGTCTGTAACGATGATGATGATGATGACTTGTTTGCTGCTTTTAAAAAAGACTTGTAACTCTGAGCATTTGTACAGCTGAGCTGGATCCATGCAGGTGAGGTGATGCTGTAATGTCCTGGCAGGCAAACATGCTAAAATAGGCGAGGAGTGATGAAGGTAACCAACAATAATATCATCACTGTGGACAAATCCTCCTGGACCGAGACCAAAACAACTCTGCGCACCTTTCAGGATTAAACCAGGTGCACTTGTGCTTTCACCTCAGTTTGTTTAGGATGTGCAGCACGCTCCTCACACGGCCTCCCTTCAGGCTGCTCAGCACAGGAAATGCCTCCGCAGTTTGTGGCGCGTTGACAGTCCACTGCCAGTAATCAGACAGGAAGCTGCTCCACTCTCCTGCAGATCTGTTTAAAACGGGGTTTGCAGCTGGAACCAGATGTTTAACGGAGGCCTGAACAGAGCTGATGTGTCTTATTTTGACCTCACAAAGCACTGACCTGCTCGTGTTTAATAACTCCAAAGGAAGGATCTGTCATCAGCGTAGTCTTGTTTCACGAGGGATCCCCTCGCTCTTATTGTGAAAGTTCAGTTGCTGCTAACTAACTCGCCCAAGCACATCCTGTCCCGTGTTTCCCCCTCTGATCCAGTTCATGTTGTGGTGGTTTTTGACATCTCTTCAGTCACACGTATTCCAGCAGCCGGAGGTGGACGGCAGCACCCCCACCGTCCTGGGAGACGAGCAGACTAACAGACAACAACAAGAGTTGCTGATTATTTGCTCGTCTATTTGGTACGAAGTACTTCAGAAACCAAACATTTGCAGAGCAGAGTTACGCGTGCGCCTGTGTACATGTATGTAATGATGTACACAGCGGTGATATTACCACAACAACACTGGGGGACATGAAGCTGGATCTGCAAACCCCGGTGGTGCCGCCTCTTTAACAGTTGGGCTGCGCTCTTTACAGACGAAGAGTCGTCTGAGCTGGAGCAGGGCGATGTGACCGAAATATTTATCACGATGTACATTTGGAAATTTGCGATAACGATATAACTGACGATATAATTGATGCGAGACAAAATACAACTCCACAACTTTACTAGTGCAAAAAACATCCATTTATTTCACTTACACAAGCAGCTGTTTTTTATCTGCATTAAAGTTATATAAACATGTAACAGTGCAAATTCCTCACTGACAGTTTAACCAAAAGGCGTTTCCAGTGGAAACTGGCCGACACATCCTCAGCATAACCATGTATAACATCCACAACACTTAAAAAGAGGTTATACACACACAGTACAGTAACATTATGTTGAAGCACAGTACGTATCACTCCGCGAGGCTCCGCCTACGACAGCCGTAACGCTCCAACAATCCATCAAGCGGTGCGGCTTCGTAGCTCAGCAAAGTCGTACTGAAACATGTGACAGATTTTCGAGCGCCGTGTACATAAAATCGTTTCGAGGTCAGTAACACAACCAGAGTTCATACATAAGGACACGGGATTATAAGGGGCTCTGTCGACTTTCAGAAGAATCAAAGGATGATTTTAAGTGCGCCGTATTTTCCAAACAACATGGTAATAACGACGGCCCGCTAGCATGCGCTACCAAAAATAGTGCTTTGTTGTGTATCTGACGGACGAAAGCTAAACCAGTTCCACACCAGTGAAGCTGCAGCATTTTTACAAACCAGTTCTGATTCATGGTTTCATTCAACGATCCGCTCTCGCTCTTCTCGTTCTGCGTCGCCGCCATGTGCGTATGTAAACAAAGGCACTGCACATGCGCGTTTTACCCATATTCTATCGCCATGTTTCATTTTCTTATCGTTGCCCAACATTACACCGGTGTTATTGTGAACGGTGTGATATGGCCCAGCACTAGTCTCAGCCGACAGCAACACAAAACCTGCTGCTGAAGTCAGGCGCTCTTAGATAAACCGTGTTACCGCCACGCACCGAACGACTGCACGGAAACACTCACGGCGTGAAACGCGCTGACCTCTGTGAATGTCACACCACGGTTCCAAAAACAAGAAGCGAAATCTGCGTCAGCTGCTTTTAAGCTGACTTTTTAAAAGTGTTGCTGCATCAGTGAATCAAGCAGATATTCAAACACAGCAAAACAAAAGCACACTCATGTTTCTGTCCATTTTCTCCCATCAGCAGGGGGCGGAGACTATTCCATCTGGCGGCGTACTCACACAGGTGGTAAACACATTCATGTGTATGTCCTGACCTGTGTGCACCGGAGTGAGGACGCTTTTATTGCTCTCAGAGCTGCATGGCAACCACTGGTTGCTAGGGAGAAATGTATATCTGTTGCTTTTGTGCAGCGATATGGCAAAAGTTACCGACAGTTTCACTGAGAGCAGTTAGCGAATGTTTGGAAACACGTCTGCGATCTGTTCAGGACCACTCACTCTGGTGCAGCGCTCTCTCTGCATCTGACCTCTGACCTCCAGCAGCCAGTCGAGGAACGTGCCGTGGTGTCTGCAGGCCGCTGCATGTACCACACGTGTGCAGGTGCAATGATGACCAAACGAGTCTGACTTCCTGGTTACAGGAGACGGGGATGAGGTCGCTTTGGTGCTTTTAATGTGGAGGTTCTGTCTTAGCTGAAGTGTGACTCCACACTCAGCCAGTCTGTGGCTCTGGGCTCCGGGCTCGGCGGCTTCTACATCACAAACTTTAGACACAGAATTTAACAGCAAAACAGGAAGTGGAGGTTCGTTTGTTGGGGACTGTTTTCAGGACGGATGAATGCATATTAGCAGCCGGACGGTGAGGAGCGGGATGGATTGGTTAGCCGTGCTCCGTGGTGCGAGGGAACCAGTCGCTGTGTTTGTGTGTGACCTCTCTGTGACTGGATCTTCCTCATCCAGCAGCTCTTCAGGAAGCTGCAGAACGGGAAGTGAAAGTATTGTGGAGCGGTCAGTTTGGCTGTCGTTAGCAGATCTCAGAGCTGCTGTTGCAACAGCTCAGTGAGGTGTTCGGTGGGAGGACGACGCCTGCATCCGGCCCCGGGAGTCTGGAGGGAGCTGGCGCGGGTGGGTGCTGGGCAGAAAGAGGATGTGCGGTCAGATCTTTGTGAAACCTTCCTGCAAAATAAACTGAAAGCCACAGACTGAAGGAGGCCCAGGTTAATGTTTTTCCATGTGGGCTCCACCAGAGCAGCTTTGCATGAGTCACAGCTCAAAATAATCCATGTTTATGTCCATACTCAGCCTCTGTCCATCTAAACTTCTGATTGGCTGCCCCTCATAACTGCAGGTTTGAAAACCAGTATGTAGCATTGCGTTACACTTAACCCCAGTCACCACATGCATGTGCCGTCTGCCTCCAGCCTGTTCATCCACAGAGGTGTAGTTACAACAGCTGAGTGCTTGGGTGGATGTAGACCACTGCAGGCGGAGGACGCTGTGTTTCTGTTCCCTTCAGCTGTGAGAGATTGGAACAATCTCTGACATTAATCCGTTTTGGGCATAAATCCTATAAGTCGTTTAGATCCTCGTCATGTTGCTGCTTATTGTCTTTGTTTTAATCACGTTAGAAAAATATAAAAACCTCTGAAAGTTGAGAATCGCCAACAAACACACACGTGCGCCTCCTGGTCATCTGAAGGTTAAAGCAGCGCGTTTGCTGTTTTCCCGCTCCAATCCCTGCCTCTCCAGGTGCTTTCACAATAAAAGCTTTCCACTGTCTCAGTGCTAAATAAGTTTATTGTGAAGCAGACAGGAAGTCCCGGTGAGTTTTTAACAGCAGCTTCACTGTAGACTCGTGCGGGATTCCCACTGTGACTTCCTGTGGTGAGTTTAACCCCAGTCAGCTGATTCGTGCCGGGTCACGTCTCACCTGTCCGTGCTGAACAGGAAGTCTCTCGGGGTGATCTCAGGGTGTGCACGCTGGCCTGTGTAGGTTTCTAAAACCCAGCGTTTCATGAGTGACGCGTTTGTAACGTTCAGTGTTTTCATTACTGCAACACCATCAGACGTCTGCTTTTACAGCAAGATGAAAGGACAAGAAGCGCTGCTGTTTTTCACACGAGCGACCGCAGAGGCGCAGCCGGGTGTCGATGCAGTTACTGCAGCTGTTTAAAGCGTTGATGAAAGAGGAGCATAAAGAACAAAACACGTCTGAGACACTGAGAGGAGCTGGACTCTTTGTAGTGAAGCTTAGTGGAGCGTAAAGCTCTGAAACGAGCAAAGACGCTGAACGCTGCTTCACCTTTGACCCCGTTAAAGCGTAACAGGAGGGACCATCAAGGTGACCTGAGCAGTTTGTCATGTTTCAGGATCTTTGTGGGACAAAAGGACTCTGTGTGCATCACATTCAGTGAGTGCAGCTTCACCGCAGGCCTCGAATCAGAGCAAACTTCGACTTTCTGTTCCAGGTGACCTCAATTTCATGCGAGTTTCCAACCCTAAGACCTCAGATTTGTTTTTGAGGTTGTACATCGACGGTGAGACGAAGCGGTCAGCGTGGAGTTCCACATTACCGCCCCAGGGCGAGAGCGTTTTCGCCCGCCCTGTTCTGCAGAGTCGCCTCTTTGTGTTCCCTAAAGTAAACCAGCTTGGACACGTGGAGGAGCTGTGTTTATGTCTGTAGAAGACCGTGTGTCCGTCACCGGCGCTGACGGACACACGGTCTTCTACAGACATAAACACAGCAGAGGTGCACGAGAAGGTTTTTGATTTCCACGCTGCACCCACTCGCTGCCTTTCTGATTTGACTTGGAGATTAATGTTAACAGCACGGTGGCGGCAGCCTGACTGATGACAGCGATGCTGGAATTCAATCTTTGCATATTTATGTTCGTATAGTTCCACGTAGTGAGGGAAGTGAGAGCAGATCACTCAGCACGTGCAGGATGTTGGTGACGGGCACAAACACAGTGGCAGTATTTACAGAAACACTCAAGTCACTCAGATTCTCTCACGTTTCACGTTTTCTGCTCCTAGAACCAAGAAATATGCGTCTCTAAAAATGTTCTGGTGGTACAGAACATGTAATCAGATTACTGAAGGAGAATGAGTCATGTCGGTGTTGCTGACTGAAGGATAAAAGTATCGGCGCCGCTCTCGGCCCGCTGACGTCAGGCGGTCTGCTGCTAGCTCTGTGGTTCTGGGTTCGTCTGTCTGAAGAAAAGCACAAAGCCTTTTTATAAGCTGAGGCTCACTTTAACATGGAATATTCCTCCAGTTAAACTCGCCGCTGTAACGGAGACAGAGGCTGGCGTTCGGTTTAACCACGAGGACAAACACGCGACAGCGAGAGGAAAGTATCCCTGCACACGTGCACAGACGCTGGTTTGTTCCTCCTGGTTCCTGATGATCCCGACTTTGGATCCTGGTGCTTATCTGTCGGCGTGACGATCTCCTGGGTCTGGACGAGCGACGACTCTACTCTCAGCTCTGTCTTTATGCTCATTTTGCAGCTTTACTCGTGATTTTATTCTTTTACGAACTACCTCATGACCACGGGTGAGCGTTGGAACATAGACGTGCTCTCAGTCATCTCATGTCCCACCTTCCAACCACCGTGAGCTCAGAGGGAGGGCTCTGCAGAGAGCCTCAGGCCTGAAGCTGCCGTCTCGTCCCAGCTGCTCCACACTCGCCTACGAACCCGGAGGTCGTGGTGTGAAGAAGCCGACGGGACGGCATCACCTGCAGAAAGGAGGTGTGCGGCTCTGACACGCTCCTCGAACGTTTCAGACGGAGGAAATCTGGCAGGCTTGGACTTTCTCGAGAGTGCATTCGACACATCGTGTACTTACATCTGGACCAATCAGAGCACACTAGTGTCATTTCTTAAGGTTCCTGTCCTGATAAGTGGTCAGAGAGTTGGTGTGGTCCTGACTTCCTCCTTCAGCGGTTACAGGAAGCTCCTCCTGCACTGCGCTGCTCTCTGAGTCATTTAAAGGTCTGTTTACATTCACAACACGAGTATTTCTTTATAAAAACAAAGTCGAGTGTTTGGAGCCTGGAAGAGCTCAACCACAAATCCCTCCATGTTTGTAGTCCAAACATCCCCCCCTCCCCAGGCTCGCACTGCCTGCTCTTTCAGGTCCCCAAACTCAGGGGGTCTGAGGGGTGAAGCGCTCCTATCGACTCCTGCTGGGTGACGGTCTCGTGGTCTCGCCGCTGTGGTGGTTCAGATGTGCTCGTCCCTGCGATGGCTGCTGGTGTGGAGCAATCGCTGTTGCTGCCGCCCACACAGAGCAGAGCGGTCGGAGCGGTTCGACCACAACTTCTAATGAAATGCAGCAGAGCCGGCGCCTTTGTGTCGCCACGCCGGCCTGAAACTGCCAGCAGCCGCTCAGACTGGAGACGTCACATTTCATCAAATAAGCTGCCGTCGTCTCAGACAAGAGGACGAATACACGGGGCAGCAGCTGACAGAGGCTGGAGGTCTGTTTCCTACAGGAAGAGGAAGTGGTGACTGTCGGGTCAGTTTCTCCCCGTGTGTCGTAGTTGCAGCGTTCGAGGCCGGGAGCAGACGTGCAGAATAAAACTGACGAATCAAAGGAGCGTTGTTGGCGCCTGGTGAATAAGTGAGCTGCTGAAGAAGCTTTCAGCGGGAAAAGTGAAACAAAATAACATTTTATGCAATTATTTCTTCATAATCATGGAAAAGTCTGACAAAATATGAGAACAATCATTATTGTTATCATGTCAAACTGCAGCCCACTGTGGTCCTGAGTGGGCCGGTCCACTGAAACGACACGTTTTATTGTAAGACTCAGGTTTAACTTGGTGAACCTGCAGGTCCATCTCTGCACAGCGCCGTCCTGAGTAAGTGGCGGCCGTGGTTTCACAGGCCGTGACAGATTCACAGTAGTGTTCACAGGTCGGGCTCTAGTTTAGGAGAACATCTCGCTTTAACACGCCGACCGTTTGATGTATGAAGCCTACAGGAGTGGTCCAGGAGCCACCCTGACTTGTATTTCTATTCTGTGCTGACTTCCTGTTTCTCCCTCAGGTGCTGTCCTTCATTGCCTTCATCCTGGAGGAGACTGTGGACAGCTGCTTCACCTGCTCTCCTCTCTACTTCTTTGAGTTCGTCAGCTGCACGGCCTTCCTCTTCACCCTGCTGCTGCTCTTCCTCCTTTCTACTAAGCTGCATGAAAAGATTCACATCGAGGCCTGGCCCACTGTGGTAAGAACCTGGAGATTGTGTTTCAGTCGCTCTTCTCCGCTCGCGTGAGAAAGGTCACTGAGCTTCTGAATCTGAACAGAGTTCATGTCTGGCTTTATTTAGAGTCACTTCCTCTTTCAGAGCACAGTCTTTGTTCAAGCCCACTCCAAACTACGATAACGACCCGACCGGCAGTCATTAGAGGAGCAGGTCACTACATACTAGAGATGGCACGATACCACTTTTTTATGTCCGATACCGATACGATATCATAAATTTGGATATCTGCCGATACCGATATGAATCCGATATAG